CCACCTGATATCCTACCATTGGATCCATCCGACAGCACATACCATCCAGCGCGTAATTTCGGAGGATACACTACCATGTTTGCCGACTCTACCAACCGACCTAGGGGAGAGGAGAATCCATTGGTGACATATACGCGGTCGTTGCACGACTACACATTGCGGTTGTGGACCGAATCGAGGAGGCTCGCTGAGGAGAAAGCACTGCAGAAAGCGAGGAGGCAGGAGGAAGAGCGAAGAGCGATAGCTGCAGTCAGGGACGGGAGTGCCTTTGCGCAAACCGCATGACATGAAGAGGATGGAGAGGAGGCAAGAGGACAACCCATGACGGGTTCACGTTGTGCTCTGCGGAGAAGATCAAGATCAAACCAGTGAGTACCGTGCATTGACGAGACGAGAGGGTGGTGAGATGAACTCACACGAGCTGCCAGGCTTTCCACCACATCTGTACCACCATCACACCATACACCGCGCTCTCGATATTTAACCAACGCTCGCCTTTATCTGTTGCTCATACCATGGATCTCTAATGTCAAGTTCTTGTATGTTACCTTTTGTTTAGCTTCTGCAATCTCGGCCAGGTCCCTACGCACATCCACGACCCTATGAATGCCTCGTCCACTTGTATAATGCTTGCTTATTGCTTTCTGTCCATGTCGAATTTGATCTTCTTTCCTGCGATGCAATGACGGGAGTGCCTGGACGCCGCCGACAATGATGACGGGCCCGCGAAGCGCAACGAGAACATCGGGAGCGTTGAGCTGTGCGACGAAAAGCGACGAATGTTCGTAGAGGTTCGTGGAGGAGATGGGAAGAGATGGAAGAGACATCCAGTCGTTGCCTGCTGTCTCTTCAAGTATGCTGCTCGCCCTGCCCATCGTCGGTCCATGACGCGGGTCCAGGCCTTCATCACGTGCAAACAATCGATCGCGTTCTGCACAACGGGCGTCTACAGAAGATACATATCGGCCATCAGACGCATTAATTCTCCCTCGCAGGTTCGCCGCCGGCGGCGGCACCCACACGCACATGTTCGTCGTCTTGGCCTCTACTCACCACCGTGCTCCTCGTAGCTCGTGTATATATCAGTCGCGACCGCTATGTTTATCTTTCTCTTCTCTTTTGCGGCAGATTGGGCAATGCACCACCTGCTTCACGTCCTGGGAAGCTCGACCGTCAATATACCATCACGACTCCGACACCATTTCCGACGCACGTTGATCTTCCATGTTCCCGGGATGCTCACCCTGCGTTCTGCACGACATCGCGTGGAAGCACCGACTTTTGTTGGCACTGATCTTGCTATTTATTCTCTCGCTCCTTCTTGCAGATGCTTCTCGAGGCATTCAATCTCCTCGACCCTCTTGCTCACGCCAGCCAGTCTGTGGGCATCTTGCTCTTCCGACTGACGATGAGGTTCTCTCTCAAGGCCGCTGTGGCTATCGCGCCCTTGGTCGGGCTCGCTGCGTCCCAAGCTACTCCCGCCGTCGCAAACGCGTCCAACCCATTCGGCCCGACTGCGTTCACTGCTCCGGGTGCTTTCCCTACATCACTGTACAAGCACTACTTCAACAACCCTACGGCCACCTCTGCTCAGGTTCAGCCGGTGATTACAGACCCTGTCGAGGTGAGTACACACTTCAGCTCGATCGTGTCTTGATTTTGATTTTGATCACTGTGTACAGCACAAAACCTATAACAAGGACTTGACTGACCCCGCTCACATACCCAAGGTCAGACGATGCGCGTCATCATCATGATTTTCTGTACCGCTGCTTACACTCCTGTAGAATAACACCAGCCCCGATCCTCATCCACTGCCACCCAAGGCTTCCAGCTCATTGCTCTTGCAACATGCCATCGACCAGATTATATCCATCTCCACGAATCCTGTCTTTGGTACGGATACATGCACGCGCTGCCAGGCTGGGCTCGAGGTAGCCAAGTTCCTTGCGATGGCTGCTCCCGAAGAGGGTCCCAAGCTTGCAGTGGCTATCTGCGACCATTTCAAGTTCAACAGCGACTGTGCCACTCAGTTCGGTATCCTGGATCTTGGCTCCGTCGTCACCCAGGTCGTCGCTAACGCCGACGTCGGTGGCCTCGATGGACAGGCAAGCTCACGTTGGCTTTAGCGAATGCAAATCCAGCTGATTTGACATGTTTGTAGATGCTCTGCCAGAACTTCCTGAACCTTTGTCCTATTCCGCCAGTGTCTCCGCTGAACCTCACCACTTGGTTCGCAAAGCCCAAGCCTGCTACACCTCCTGCTCCTCGTAAACCCAGCGGCAAGCGTCTCAAGATCCTACACTTGTCAGATCTCCACATCGATCCCCGTAAGCTCCGCAATTCCACCCACATTCCTTCCCAGGCACGAGAAGATGAAAATGGATACTAATACCACGTTTCTAAGGGTACGCAACGGGTGCTGAAGCCAACTGCACGTCTGGCTTGTGCTGCCGCGAGAACAACCACAACACACAGAGCCCGAATGCCACGCTGTCGCCGGCACCACGGTTCGGTGCTTATTTATGGTGCGCCGCGCCGCTTTTCCATATTTACAGCCTGGACGGTACGCTCAAAGAACACCGCGATCAGCGACTCTCCGTTCTCGTTGGTGGCGGCTGCGCTGCAGGCTGTTCCCGTTCTCACTGGAACCCAGAAGACTGGATTCGACTTCACTGTTTATACGGGAGATCTGGTGTCGCATGACCCGGATAACCAACTTTCCAGGTACGAGCCGTATGGTTCCCTTTCTTCTGATATGTAGCTGGGTGGATGTGCTGAACATTGTGCAGGGACTACATTACGTACACCGAGGTATGCTCGACTTTTTGACACCCGATCGGAGTTGTTGTGGCTGAACGTACCCATTGTGATGTGCATTGCAGACGGTCGTGTATGACTTGTTCAAGCGTACTCTTGGTTCTGGCCCTGTATATGCTGTACTGGGCAACCACGACAGCTACAATCAGTACGTTTTTCGTGGCAGGTTTGTTGATCACGACTCACCTTGTTTCTTACAGGGCTCAAGATGCTCCGCATACACTCGGTGGTGCACTGGCTGATCAGTTTAGCTGGTAAGATCCCTTTTCTACCCAAAGAATACTGTAGTACTGAGTATGGTACAGGAACTACGACCACTTAGCTTCTCTGTGGCAACACGAAGGATGGCTTCCTAACGCCGCTGTTCAACTCGCGCGCGCTCACTACTCGGCGTACATGGTGCAGCGCAAGGACGGTCTTAGGATCATCACCCTCAACACCGACATGTGTGAGTTATCTCCGTTCGCTTCATCGGCTTTCTTGAATGACGCTTCTTATCATATTTATGCAGGGTACAAGTGAGCCGTTGATGTTTCTGCACAGACACCTCGAACGTGTGTATTCTAACGATGTTTCACCAGGGCGAATTACTTCAACTACATCAACATGTCTCACCCCGACAACTCCGGGATGCTGAGGTTCTTGACCGATGAACTGCAAGCTGCTGAAGATGCTGGTGACCGTGGTACGCTTTGATTCTCCTAGCCACGCTGACCCGGTGCGCTGATAAAGTTGTTCGTATGATTCTATTAGCTTGGATCCTGGGACACGTCCTCTCCGGGTGGGACGGAACAAACCCGCTAGGCAACCCTACGAATCTCTGTGAGTGATTGTCATACGCATATCTTACATTGGTTGGGTTTCTGACATACGGTCTTGACGAACGTTGCAGTCTATCAGATGTGAGTTTGGTTGTTTGTGGCGTTTCGTGAGACAAGCTGAATGCGCTGGACAGTGTTGATCGGTTCTCGCATACCATCACCGGTACGTCATTGGACGCATTGCACCTGGTGGTGAGTAGTGTGCTGACCTCGTTTGCCTTGACGTAGGTATTATGTGGGGACATACCCACGAGGACCAGCTTTCGGTACGCTGCAAGCATCACTGTTCAAAGGAAAGTGCCACTGAGCGAAATGCTCCTTTTAGATCTTCTATGCGAACAATGCTACCTCGATCAGCGAGCAGACCGCGCAGAACATTGCATGGGTACGCTGATCATCTTCCTCCCCAAATTAGCAGTGAAGATGTTGATGGACGTCTTGCATTACTAGATCGGACCGTCGGTCACACCGCTCACTAACCTCAACTCCGGTTTCCGTGTATACGAGGTTGATTCCAACGTAAGTTCAACCGAATCCGATGTATTGCATGTTGCATATCTGACCATCTGCATACCTAGACCTTTGAGATTCTCGATGCCCACACGTACGTTGACATTTTATTCAAAAGCGTACGGTACCTGTTAACAGACCTTCATACGTAGATGGCGAAGCGACGTCAACTCCTTCCCCTCCTTGAACTCTCAGATCGAGTTCGGTCCAACCTATTCCTTCGAGTACAGCACCCGTGCGACCTATGGTGCCAACATCACTGGATGGGGTCCCAACGATCCTTTGAATGCTACTTGGTGGCACAAGGTCACTGAGCGTAAGTTCATCTAGCTACATAAACGGCTACTTCATGAACTGACCTTCACTTTTAGAAATGGAGCTCGACAACTCGCTCGTCACGGTACGTCGTCCGTTCGTGTGTTTGTGGGCAGCACGCTGACGACTCTTTTCTGCCTTTTATTTGTTTCAGACTTTCAACACCCTTCAAGGCAAGACCTCCGTCCGTACGAAACCTTGTTTGGGCGACTGCATCACTGCGAAGATCTGCTACATCCGTTCCGGAAGCGTGCCCATCGCGAAGCAGAACTGCATTCCCAACTTCGGCTCTGTGCAGAGCTGAGCAACCCGAGGATTGCGGTTCATATATACCATGTGTTGCGTTCGAGGATTTCAGCTCTAATGACATGACGAGTACTATCCTCCGTGTTCGTATCACTATCACGGCGCATCGAATTCGGACGACCTGGATTCGTAAATTTCCCCTCTTTCTCTTCCTTGAAGGTGAAAGATTGTTTGTTTTCGTCAATAGCACAGTTTCAAAAAAGACACTGATCATCGTAGTCGTCTTTATGCCAAGAAGGTGAATTGAACACCTGACCTGCAGAACTCGAACTCTGACTCAGAGCCTTCAGTCTGTCGCTCTCCCAACTGAGCTATCTCGGCGGCGTTAAGCGCTCTCCGTCGTGCATTCATGATTCTGCAGCGTAATCTCAAGAAGAATGTCATTTCTGTGCAGCTTCCTCCTACGCCCCCACAAGAATATAGAACAGAGCAAAGAGATAGATAAAGTATCAAAAGGGGTCGGAGTCTTCTTTTTCGGCATTAGAAGTTAAGGCCATGGGCAATCGCCAAATCGACGGCTTCGTCATCCTCCATATCCGACAGGTTCCCGAGCACTTCGACGTCGTCAGTCTTAGCAGCTTTCTTCTTTCGCTTGGAAGTGGGTTTCGTAGCGGTTGCAGTGCTGGTGGATGCAGTAGCGGTTGCGTCGGGTTGTGGTTGTACAACGGGTGTTGGTGTGCGGATGACGGGTGTTGGGCCAGAGAAGTCTTTTCCGGTCATGCGCGAAAGCGTGGCGATGTCTACAAGTCCAGTCTAGCATAAGAGAGCAGGCTGGAGGAGATTGAATTGAAGACGTACCGTATGGACGGCGATTTTTCAGACAGAACGTGATTCTAGCAGGATCTCTCTTATCTTCAGCCTTGAATTTGTTCTTGCAAGCCTTACGATCCCGTCCAGGAAGAATGAACGAGATCAACTCGTAATTCTCACCGAATTGAGACAGAGCCTAAAACATGATAAGATACGCTAGGACATAGTAGAGAAGATGAACATACATCGAAGAACAGCTCCGTCTCTTCTGCACTCCAACGAGAGCCCCGCGCCTTTTTGCTATAGGTCGATGAATTGATGAACTTCGAGGAGTCAGACTCTTCAACGTGAGTATAGGCAGCGGTGTCGTCTTCCTCGTTATTATCCACGAAAAGGGAGTCCTCGTCGATGATAGTCTCTCCATTCGGACCAATCCTGACTTGGACATTGTACCGGCTGGTCGACATAGCCTGGTTGTAGTCAAACCGATCTCTCTTCTCTTGTTCGTCGTCCGATCCCACATTCGTCGTAGAGGAGGGTCCAGCCTCTGAAAACTCTGCACCTTCAATGATTTCGGCAGGAGCATCCTCCGGGGTGGGTGTAGAAGACTGTTTCGTGGCCTGAGCAGCGGCATTGTCCTCCTCTTCATCCAGATTCCTCCCATACTTCTTCGCTTCCATGACTGCCCTCATACGCGCTCGTTTCTCCCTGTTGGTGGCCCTCCATGCGGCGTGGTTGCTGACGATCTGTGCGGCCTTACTGCTGACCCGTCCTCGGCCTGGGTCATCGCATAACGTGCCCATCGTGATGGAAGTAGGATCAATCTCTTCTCCAGGATCCGCTTCTGCATCGTACGAAGGCGGAGGGCTTTTAGTTTTACGCTTGGCAGTGGACTTCCGTCTCCTACGAGGTGTTGTTGCACTCCCCTCAGCCGCACTGGTATCCCCGCCCTCGGATTGACCAGTCGTTGAGCCTGTTCGTTTCCTCTTCCTCTGCTTTCGCGGTTTCAATGGCGTCGAGCTACCCGCTTGCGCCTCAGCCTGGGCACCGTCCTCCGTGTAAGCTTCCTCATCCGACGCAACAACCCGTTTAGTCCTTTTACGTCGAGGGCGCGGGCCAGCCGTAGCAGGGTCGGCAGTGCTGGTTGAAGCTTGGGGGTCAGTGGCCTCGGTACGAGTTTGCTGCTGCAGAGTCTGCTGACCATTATTTGCGTCAGAACCTGGCGCAATGGGCAGATCTTGGGGAAAATTTGTAGTAGGAGGCTCGGGAGCTGAGTGCGCACTTTGCTCCACATGCTGCAGGGCAGTGACCATGGCTTCTAGGAGAGCAGGATCGATTTGAGAATGATCGAAAGACAAGTTTTCTGGAATAGGGATAACTTCTGGGGCTATTGCGGCTGGCTGTAGCGCAGGAGCAAGGGGCTCGGACTCAGGAGCAAGTGCAGAGGTAGCGGGAAGGTCAGCCTCGTTTATCGGAAAATGTACCGAGGGTGACGGCTCAGGAGCGGACTGGGTAGCTGGAACAGCGGAGGAAATGACTGGTTGTTGTACAGTCGGAACAGCAATCGGAATAGGCCTTGGCTGCGCGTCGGAGGATGAGGATGAAGCAATAGAGGGCGGGTGCGCCTGTGAGATTCGCGGAGGTTGCCTCGATTGAATGACTGGAGGTCTGTTGCTCCTGGATTGTAAATCCTCTCCCGTATGCTCTACAGAGCTGGGTCCAGGAATGGGGCTCGCTTCCAAAATTTCCTGCATTTCCGAAGGCTGAGACAAAGTCATAGGCGGAGGCATTGCAGAACTCGGTGCTTGCGAGCTGCTGGATCCAATGGCCGTTTGGCCATGCTGTGATTGTGAGCCAGGTGGATGACGGTTGTCACCTCCTGGTCGAGCGCGAGGTTTTGCGACGGGCTTGAAAATGGGCCCGCCTTTCTCTGATCAGAAGCGAGAATATTTGAGCGACCAGAGTATGGTACCAGAAACTTGAGCAGACTCACGAACACGGGTAGTCATTCTCGCAGCCTTGGTCAACCGTAATGTCTATGCAGCGGCCAAAAGAATCAATGAGATGCAGGTGAAGAGGCGGCTGGGGTGGCAAGGATGACGATGGTAGGGAAAGAGAGAATGCGGGCAGCGGGATCGGCGCCGGCGCACTTCACTCGATCATCGGCGCCTGTGAGCAGCTGTGAGCACTTTCTGAATCGCTCCTCCCATCCTCCCCTTCGACACCTCGGTATATCGACCTCTTGTTTCTTGTCATGAGTTACGAACCTCCTTCCTTTGTTCCTCTAAGAGTTAGTACGATTCCGAATGACCAGGACAGTGCAATTTCGGCCGCAGATGACTCAAGCGTAGAGGTTCCTGTCGAAGAAAGGGTGTTACACTCGATTGCAGACAGGTACGCACAATTGCCTCGTCTCCTTTCACGCAGAGGGTCACTGATATTATGCAGTGGCGCCTTGCTTCTTTCTTTGCAGCAATGTCAGTTCATTCCCGAGATCTTGCGGTGACGTCGATGAGTGTAACGATCTCATTTATAGCCCGCGACCTGTGGTTGTCTTCATTACCAAAGTTCTCCACCAAGCCCAAGAGCAGCAAAGTCCCCGCCAAAATCCCACCTCATCATTCAATCAAGCCATACAAGGAGGCTCACCTCTCTATCGAGCCCATTCACTTCAAGGATACGCAGATCTTCGAAGTACGCTACTTACCGCCATCTACACCTGCGACTTTGCATCCTTCCGCAACACGCGTGCAAGCGAGCACTTCGAGTTCTTCTACTGCAGGACCTTCTGAGCAACTATCTACGTCTTTCTCGCAAAATACAGTCCCGATAGGCTCTCCGGAATGGGGAGATCGGATCAAAGAGGCCGCGAAATCCAATCCGACGTTGAAGAACCTCATAGATCTCAATTCGCAAGGAAAGGCTTCTCCTGATCAACAGCAAACACTTAGCCTTCTCATACAGACTTTCATGAACTTAGGTCCTGAGCCCGCATCTGCGACTCCCGCATCTCCCAGTGTGCAGGCTCCCGCTCCCGCCCCACCACCTCCTGTGAAAGACTTTGACATAGTACTCGAATTCGCAGAGCGTCCCACAGAACGTGTGATCCTACCGCGCTTTCCTGCTGTCCTCGATGTGGAGCGCAATCGGTCGAATCCTTACTACTGTACGCTGCATTTGCGGATGGCGATGCATCCATATAGTCAAAGAGGGGACGACGGTTTCCAAACACCCCCTGAAGCAGTTCTACGCGTCGTCCATTTCAAATGGGAGAGCGTGACGCCAGCCCAGATGGACCTCTTTACAAGATGGGGCGGTACAGACGAGCAAAAGATAGCTGAGAACAAGAAACTTATCGCAGAGTTGGTGCGCGGCCTCATTACTGCACCCTTCCGTCTCTGTTGACAATATTCTTTTTAGACCACCTTAGGTAGATCGAAACGGAAGTACCTTCACCACCAACTGCCGCCATGTGATTGGCATCGAACTGTTCAAGACGTACGTCAAATGCAGCACCATGACTAGAATTTGTTTACCTGAAGCATGCTATAAAGAACCTTAAGCCGCAGTGGACCAAGAAATCGATCAAGCCAACTCCGCAGGAGCTAGCGAAGAAGAGACGGTATGCTCACAGGACGGAACAACCAAAGACCCCGGCAAAAACTCCAAGTCAACCAACAAAACGCAGGAAATCAACCAAGACTGGTCAGTCATCAGCCGCGACTCCTTTTGCGTGCCACCACTGTGGCAAGACCGACGTTCCTCTCCTCATGGGTGGTCGTGAGTTGCTTTGCGCTTCTCCGAGTGTTGTCCCGCTCACACCTCGTTTGCAGGATACTGCCGTGAGTGTTTCGATAGCGGTAAAGGCGTAGAACTTCGTGCAATACTTGCGACGCCGGGTAGCGCGGTGCCGCCGACACCACCGGCTTCAGCTTTGCAGGTACACATGTACACACCCCCTGCTACAGCTGCGGGACCATCGCAAGCACCGCAGGCAGCTAATCCGAATGGTGCCGCATATGGGAATACCCGATAGGATAGCGATGCAATGCATAGACTGAACGACCGGACACTACAAGTATACCCTGTACGGACGGAAAATCAGCATAATAATATGTAACGATGGTGACGATGAGATGAATGAAGAATAGCGAGTACAATGCGCGAGTGAATGAGAGTCCAGATATGTATCCAAAGCGAGAATAGAAGAGTGGTCAAACGAAAACGCGAACAGACCAACCGAGCCACCAAACCAAGATACCTGCCTGGGCAAAGATAAGAAACGACTCGAAGAGGACAGCACACCACTGTGCGATAAGAGCAACAGCGAAAAGGGGGGATATCAGCCACCGAACACCAACGTCGGCAAGCCAGGGAAGGTTGAGAATAGATGAGAAAGAACACGCAGCACGAATTTGAAGCAGGGTCATCATGACACTGGTTACGGAAAACAGCAGCAACCCAACCCAATGTCGAATGGAGCGTTTGGGAAAATTCTTGATGGGGTACCAGTTCGGTTCTCCAGTGAATTCATTGCGATACCAGGGGACGATGAGAAAGTCTTGCACGTC